AGAGAAAACTTAGAAGTAAACTTCGAAGATGGCAAATGCTGTGGAGAAATAAAAAGCAAGGAAGGTGAACAATGAGTGCCGCCATTTTCTACTAGGTCGTTCAGGAAGTCTTCAATGGAAATGGGATTGGAGCAAAGATTTGAAGGGCAAAAAGAATACTGAAATAAATGTCTTGCGGAAAATGTGAATTGATTTAGAGTCCACTCCACTGGTTTTTCATTAAGTGTGTCAAAATGATGATTAGAATGTGCATGTGTTGTTAGAGTATTAACAGTTACCCTTGAGGCTGCTCGAACACCACTAACAAGACAAGTATCTCACTGTGAAGAGGCAGACATGCGGCTGCTGTCGGGAGTTGTGCTGGCCAGGAGCCCCCACCCAGCCTCCCTAACCCCAACCCTGAACACCCCTACTGTTGGCTGCATCTTTGTCCTTGGACACCCGGAATGCAATGTTGTCCAGCAGCTCAGAGCCCCCATCTGTGAAAGAGGGCAGTGTCTCAGCAGCTGGCTGTTGAATAGGTGTACAGGTGTAGGCCACTTCCAGACCCACAGTCAGGAGTTTTTCATTGCGCTTGTCCCCTGGGGGACTTCAGGATGCACCACCAGACCCACTTCCTCCCTCAAGTGGGTCCTCAAGGAGTCCTGTCCAGGGTTAAAAGCATCAATGGCAGCAGCACGTCATGGGTCACAGTAAACCAGGTGGAAAACTGAGCTCAGGGACCAGGGAATGTATCCCCAGCAGGGTGCTAGTGGTTAAGTTGCCTTTGAAACCTCCAGGGGAGAAGAGGCTCCCCATTATTTCCCATCCTTTACGTAGAGAACATTTTCGGGCTCCTAGACCACGGGTGGCTGACCTGAGGAGCAGTCCCCATTGCAAGTTACTGATGGCAAAATAATGTTTTTATCAGGGATGGAACCAGGTGGCAAATACAGGATACTTTGGCCATGGAGGAAGACTGCAGAGAGAGCCTAGACCTCAAATGACTTTGGGGAATATAGATGGGCTAATCAAAGTGTCCCATCCAGGGCTCTGTTCTTGAGAATTGCAATAGAAGGAATGAGAGAATAAAAATCAAATGCAAAAAGGAAAGGCCACTTGGTTGTGGATTGGAAGGAAAAACTTTAGGAGTTAGAAGACTATGACCTGGGCTTGGGTGGGTCATTTAAAATTCTAAAGCCTCAATTTCCCCATTTGAAAGTGAGAGTTATACTTGACAATCTCCAAATTCTCACTCACTTTTGATATGTCTAATCTATGCTTCTCTTGAATGGCTCATCATAATAGATAAAGGAGTGAATTTGGGGGAACCATTGCCAAAAATTAGATGTAAAATTCCTTCTTCCCACTAATCTGTTGGGAATTCAAGGATTGCAATTCCATTTCAGTACAGCCCTCTTTGCCACATTTGCTGAGAGAATACAGACCATTCTCAACAACTCAACTGTTGACGTCCAGAAAGGATTGCAGTGTATCTGTAGGGATGCTAAGAGATTGTGAAGGCCTTCTGAGGAATGCACAGACAGACTTCACTTAAGAGCTCAGTTTCCTCAGGGAAAATAAATGAAAGCAGTTCCAGGTTGACAAATAGCAAGGAAATAAAAAGGAACTTACAAGCTCCAGAGTCATTTTTAAAACATGATCGGAGTTCATGACACCGGCTGCTGTTACAGCATTCAGTCGGGGTATGTCACTTCCGCATCAATGTCGTGATTCAGAACAGTGGGTCTTTGTTGAAATCTGAGATTTCTTGGGTAAAAGTATATCATCAGGTTTGTATGAGGCTAGGTGTTACTTGTATTTCAAGCCTCAAAAGCAAATAACATTCAACTCATGTAAAATTTATTTTTTCTGATTGTAAGTCATAACAGTCAAAACCAAGCATATTAGGAAATTTTGGATGGTATTTAAGTTTCTGAGAAAGGAACAGCACAATGATTTGATAGGTAAGATTTAAGGATTACCCAGCTGTGAAGTTGCTGAGAGCTCAGCCTCATGTGTTATTTTTAAATTTGTAATAAAACACATTTATTTTTTAAATGGTATTGCTAAACTGAGAGTTCTACCATGAAATGACTAAATCCTGGTGACTTTAGGTCTAATCTTAAACATTCTTTGCATGTTCCAAATTAATTTAATGTGAATTAATTAATTAAAGCTGAATTAATTAAGCAAAGGTGAATTCATTAAATAATTAAAGGTGAATTCATTAACTAATTAAAGGTGAAAGTGTCATTTTGAATAATTTACTCAAGATTTACAAACCCTCATGCAGAATCGGTCTCACTCCTCCAGAAGCCAAGAATCACATTTACATCAGTGTCCCGCCCAGGAAAGGCACCTTCCCCATGCTTTGTCCCCACTCCACTGTAGTTTCCTTGGGTTTCCCCTTCTGCCAGACAGACCATGGGCTCACCAGGGAAGAGAAAGAGAGATGCTCAGCCCCGAGGCTGCTGGACTCTAGCTCCTCAACTCCAGCTACTAGCCAAATGGTAGCATGGCCTGGCTTCTAGATCAACACCCAGTGCCCTCCGTGTACTCTCGGGTTGGCCTTCTTGAGTACAAATTTTAAAATAATCACTAGCATGAGGAACTCATAAGATCACAAACTATAAGAAAATGAATTAGATGCAGAATCCAGTTTTAACTTGTTTAGGGGATTAGTCTTAGTAGATGGTGTGATGGCTAATATTGACTGTCGACTTGATTGGATTGAAGGATGCAAAGTATTGTTCCTGGGTGTGTCTGTGAGGGTGTTGTCAAAAGAGATTAACATTTGAGTCAGTGGAATGGGAAAGAGAGACCCACCCTTAATCTGGGAGGGCACCATCTAGTCAGTTGCCAGCATACCTAGAATAAAAGGAGGCAGAAGAACATGACAAAACTAGACTGGGCTAGCCTCCCAGCCTACATCTTTCTCCTGTGCTGGATGCTTCCTGCACTCAAACATCGCACCCCAAGTTCTTCAGCTTTCGGACTCGGACTGGCTTCCTTGCTCCTCAGCTTGCAGATGGTCTATTGTGGGACCTTGTAACTGTGTGGGTAAATACTCCTTAATAAACTCCCATATATATTGCGTATTGTGTGAGTCAATGCTTCTTAAGAAATTCATATATATATATGAGCTTATATATCCTTATAAACTTATATACATATATCCTATTAGTTCTGCCCCTCTAGAGAACCCTGACTAATACAGATAAAATGAGATTTTTAAAAGTAGATGCTTTTCTAGGTCAAGAGCAACCAAATTTTGGCAATTTCACATGACTTGAACTCTACTTAGGAATCTTTCAATTCTGGATTCTCTGTCTTCTTACCTGAGTTTAACCTATTCCTGCTCTTCCTGAGCTTCTCAGAATATGCCTTCAGATTCCACCATCTATCCTTAAGCCAGTTGAGTTCCCACTAAGCTCTTCTAGCCAACCCAACATCCATTCCATAAACATTCATTGAGCACCGGTTCTGAACCAGGGAATGCTGCAGACACAAGGTCAGATGTAAGTCTGTCTTAACCTTTGAGGAATTCAGTCTAGTGAGAAACAGAAACTTTAAAAATGTACATAATTAGGTTAATGATAGAAATATGTCCAAAGTGTGGAAGAGAATCAAGAAGCATCATGCTTATGGGAAAGAGTAAGGAAGATTTCAAAGAAGAGTTGATATGTGGATTGTGTCCTGAGAGAACTGTAAGATTTCCTGAACAAACCCAAGTAGGGAAAGCATTACAGCAGGCGCGATGTGAAATCTGGGCTCTGGAGACATGAAAGAACACTGAAAGTTCTGGGGAAGGGCCAGTAGCTCCATAGGGCCCAATGATAGGATGCAAGGAGGGGCTGGGTGTGGTGGCTCACACCTGTAATCCCAGCACTTTGGGAGTCCAAGACAGGAGGATCATTTGAGGCCAGAATTTCAATACTGCAGTGAGCTACGATCGAACCACTGCATTCCAGCCTGGGTGACAGAGCAAGAGCTAGTCTCTAACAATTAAAAATAAAGAAGATGGAAGGAGATAAAAGGAGATTGGTGTCAGATCTTAAAGGAGCATGACGTTCTGTCCCTGAATCATGTGTTTAAGCCACAGATTTTTTTTCTAACCAGAAAAATGACGTAGTATTTATAAATTTGCAAAATTATAATTTTTTTATATTTTATGCTTTTCTTCCTGTGACCTGTGAGACCAGAATGAAGAATCAAGCCAAATGAGTAGGATGTGTAGGCTTTAAAAACTATCTTTATTGTTTTTTTCTACTTATAAAAGAAATACAGATTCATTCTAAGTAATTCAAACATTTTAGAAATATACAACATAGAAATCAAATGCTCCCTGTAATCCAACCTCCCTGACCCAAACCACTGTTACTACATCTGTTGTAGATTTCTTTATACTTTTATTTCAATGGCAAAAACCACAATTAGTTTTGCACCAACCTAATAGTTTATAACATATTAATATGTTTTTTCCATACCAGTAAATACAGAGTTACCTCATTCTTTTTAGTGGCATGTAATATTTTATTACATGTATTTGTTGAATTAGACCTTATGTTGTGGACATGAGGATGTTTTCCATTTTCTTTCTTTCTTTTTTTTTTTTTTTTTTTTGAGACGAAGTCTTGCTCTGTCTCCAGGCTAGAGTGCAGTGGCTCAGTCTCGGCTCACTGCAACCTCCACCTCCTGGGTTCAAGCGATTCTCCTGCCTCAGCCTCCCAAGTAACTGGGACTATGGGCATGTGCCACCATGCCCAGCTAATTTTTGTATTTTTAGTAGAAACGGGGTTTCACCATGTTGGCCAGGATGGTCTCCATCTCTTGACCTCGTGATCCACCCACCTTGGCCTCCCAAAGTGCTGGGATTACAAGCATGAGCCACTGTGCCAGGCCACATTTTTCATGATTATAAACAATCCTGGGATGAACACCTTTTTCCATAAGCCCTTATAAAGTTGTGAAGGTGTTTCTATAGGATACATTCTTAGAAATCCTTCCGGAAACTGATATGAAGGGAATAACCATTTTTTATTTTAATGAGTATTGCCAAACTGCCATCATAAAGGTTATATCAATTTACATCCCAACAGTGTGTGGTCCCCAACTTCCCTAGGGCTGTGGGATTTTATAGGCAGTCTGTTCTCATCAGAGAGACTGTAGAACCTCGAGACTCTTCATTTAACACTGTGAATGTCTGCAGTTCATACATTTCTCTGGTGGCTGATATGTTAACATTAATAGCAACTCGAAGGTTCGCCCAGAAAAGCCCACATTTACGCCTATCCTTGGGCCATTCCAAGTATGCTTTTTTTTCCAGGAGAGTTTTCAGTTTATGACACCTTGTGGGAATGCAGTAGAATGGAATGGGTTCCAGTAAGATAAGAATTATATGATCAGAATTTTCATGGAAGAGATTGTGGTGGGCAAAGTAGAATTCATAATGGCACCACTCATTCTGGACAAAGTTGGGAGACAAAACAAAGATGGACTTATAGCTTTTCTCAATGAAGCTTACAATATTTTCACTAATGCTCTTGCCAGGGTCAAAGTATCTTTCATAAAGGCAAATCAAGATAGAACCATCTTCTTTCTCTAGATTGGGGATCAATTCATTCTTCACCCACAGAGAATCATGTTCACTGTATGAAATAAATGCGTGGAATCGGACATTTCTCTTGAGTTGTTCTTGAGTTGTCTTCCTAACCCTGTGCCATGTTTGTGTGCATTGACCTAGCATCCTGAAATACCAGGGCAGATCAAAGTGGAGACAGCAGAAGGCCACAGCCAACCCCAGAACTAGCATGATAACCACAATGGTGACAATCAACAGAGCTGTGTTGCAAGATAATTCAGGGAGATGAACATCTTTTAACCGAGTGCCCCTTAGGTTTAAAGGGTATTCACAGGTGTAAGAATCTGACCATCCAACCATCATGACCTCTGAATATGTTTCAAGCTGAATGAAATTTTTTAATTCACAAGTACACCGGAATGGATTTCTTCCTGCATTTAGAGTCTTAACTTCCTGGCAGCTCTGAACAAAATCCAGAGATGGGCTGAGAATTAAGTTCATTTCAATGTTCAGAATTGAAAGTCTACTGAAATGACTGCACCCAGGGAGATCAGTTAGGAAATTAAAAGCAATATTTAGCTCTCGTAAGGCCATCAGATGAATAGTCTCTTTAGGTACAGTTTGGATTTGGTTATTATTTAGGTCAAGTATTTGAATACCTTTGGGCAAGCACCTGAAGACAGAATCAGACAATTTATTGTATGACAGATTCATGTTGACCACAGTTTCTGGCCATGAGCAATTTTCATCATTTTTATGTTGTAATAGATTTTGACTCAGATCCAAGTGTTCCAAGGGTGTGTTGTTAGCAAAGCAACTCACTAAAGAAAGTGTCTCCAGTTTATTGCTATTCAAAATGAGAGTTTTCAAGTGAGGCAGTTGGATAGTTCTTTTAAACAACTCGTCTGTTAAGATATTATTGGCAAAATTTAAATATTGGAATTTTGTAGGATAATTAGGGAAAAGCATATGTGGCATTTGTGCATTTGATATTGTCAGGTTTTCTATGTCCATTTTGGTCAAAAGCAAATAGATGTTAGCCTGTTGAATGTAAAACACTCTGAAATGTACATGCTCCAATTTTATAGTTCTCATTACAGTATTTGAGTAGTCAAATGAATTGTGGTCAAGATAAGCCTTACCACCAAAAGTCACATTTTGGATCTGAAAGTGTTCCACTGATGTATGCCAAACAAATTGTAAGATATGGAAAAGGTCGTCCCAGAGTAAATCAACTTTATTAAGTAATAGAACTGATGTCTTAGCATTTTCTAAACTAATATTTCGTTGCATTTCATAACTTACAAATTGGCTTTTGCCATCTATATTTGTCATTTCTAATATTTTTGAAGTCTTGATTCCATCACGCAAAAGAACCCAGAAATTTGTGTCCATTGGTAAAACAATGTGCAGTTTTGTCGTGTTTAAGATGGGCAGGCTACCTTCTTCATAATGAGAAAGAGTTCTGAATCCTAAGAAGACAGTATTTAGATGCAGATGAGCAATTTTCTGGAAATCTGATTTTTGTATTTTTGCCCCACTCAAACCTAGGATTTCCAGTTGTGACATGTTGCCAGCTTCCTCACAGATAGGCATGGTGTCAAAGTCATTAAAAGAAAGATCTAAATACCTGAGACCTGCCAGTAAATACCAAGTTACGCTCTTCAGTCTGTTATTAGACAAATCTAAATATCTTAACTCCTTGTTGAATTCAAAGGTTTTGAGATTCAGCTGTTGAATTCTGTTATGGTGTAGAATCAAAACTTTCAGTTTGGAGACAGAATGAAAATCTGAACTCTGGAGTTGAAAAAGGAGGTTATAGGATAAATCCAGTGTGGTTGTGGCTGGGGTCAAGTCTGCGGGAACCTTTCTTAGAGACATGTTGGAGCAGTTGGTCATCAGTTCCCTTTCTTCTGGAAGCTCTGGAGCCTCGCCCTCTACTGTCATAACAATACTACAAAATATGTAAATGTTTCTGATGAATCTCATTGTATTTCCAAGGATTTTACCACTGATTTCCTCATATGAATGATGAAGATGAGCTCAAAACCCTAAAAAGACAGTATATAACATTAGGTTTTTATTTGGTTAAATCCTGTAGGACTTTTATTTGTGAAAAAAAAATGCCAACATCTGACTATATTCATCAAGAGGTTGGAATAGGGTCCCAATCTGTATGTTGGGTCTTTGACTTGATCTCAGAGCATTGGCTGAGACGTCTCCAAGCTGGCTACTGTGCCATATCTCCGTTGTTGAGGCAAGTCAGGATTCTCAGAGAGGAGAAGCATAATGGCCCTTCGGTTTAAGAACCGCATTGTCAGGTCAGACTCAACACCCTCTCTCACATCTCCTTTTGATAGCCTGAAGATTTCAAGAAAATTGAAAGTAATTTGTTTTATTACCAGACACTGTGAATCTTTGACTTGATATCAAGCAGTTATCCCTCAATTTTTGTATTTGTGGATATAGAAAGTCCCTGGAGCTAATATTGGACTTTGAACACTTACCTATACAGATGGAAGTTTCAAAACAGGAAACAAATAGGATGATTCCTGTCCTTCTGCCTCTATATGTCTTCAGGTTAGTGGCAAAAGCAATCTGGATCACTGCCAAATAATAGTATTAATGCTGAGAAACAATTTCCAGGTGTGACATGTTGCCGGCTTCCTCACAGATAGGCATGGTGTCAAAGTCATTAAAAGAAAGATCTAAATGTCTGAGACCTGCCAGTGAATACCAAGCTACAATCTTCAGTCTGTTATTAGACAACTATAAATGCCTTAACTTCTTGTTGAATTCAAAGGTCTTGATATTCATCTGTTGAATTCTGCTATGGCATAGAATCAAAACTTCCGGGTTAGATTTCAATGTGTCAAGACACATACTAATTGCTTTGTGTATATTATTTATTTATCACCATACTCTGTGAGGGAAGTACTATTACTCCCATTTGATAGACAAGGAAACTGAAGGATATAGAATTCTGAGGACTTTGGGAGACATGTTAAGTTTCATGTGGTTTGATTAGACATAGAACAGAGGTAGTTAGAATACTAAGATTTTACAATATTCATTATTCAAGATATTTATTAAGTGCCTATTCTGCCTTTTCTAGGCACTGGGGAAGTAGCAGTGAAAAGAACAGATTTCTGTTTTTACACAGCTTACATTCTAGAGAAAGGGTAATAAAAGAGAGACTGCAAACAACACAATACATTTATATGTTATGACTCACAATTCCACATGCCTGGGGAGGCCTCACAATCAGGGTGGAAGGCGAATGAGGAGTAAAGTAATGTCTTATGTGGCAGCAGGCAAGAGAGCGTGTGCAGGGAAACTCCCCTTTATAAAACCACGAGATCTCGTGAGACTTATTCACTATCATGAGAGCATGGGAAAGACCTGCCTCTATGATTCAATTACTTCCCACCAGGTCCCTCCCACAACATGTGGGAATCATGGGAGCTACAGTTCAAGATGAGATTTGGGTGGGGACCAATATCAGGCAGTGATATTGACTTGAAGGAAAAATAACTACGATAAGGGAAACAGAAAGAGACTGGGGAGTGATTTTTTTGTATAGAATGATCAAAAAAGGCCTCCCTGATAGTGACATTCATACAGAGATCTAAAGCGGGTGAAGAAGCAAGCCACTTGTTGTCTAGGGAAAGAGTATTTTGGAGAGAGAGAACAGCAAGTACAAATTTAAAGATCCTGGTGTGCTTGGAAAATGTGAGGAAGGCCTGGAGTGGAGTTAGGGGAGGAAATCAGAGAAAAGGTCAGATCTTGTAAGAACTTGGCAATTTTCCTCTGACTGAAATAAGAAACCAGCAGAAGATTTAGAGTCCAGGAGTGGCAGGTTCTGGCATACATTTTAGAGATTCCTGTTTGAGGCAACCTACAGAATGGGAGAAAATTTGTGCAATCTATCCATGTGACAAAGGGCTAATACCCAGAATCTACAAAGAACTTAAAAAAATTTATAAGAAAAAACAACCCCATCAAAAAGTGGGTGAAAGATATGAACAGACACTTCTCAAAAGATGACATTTATGTAGCCAACAAACATATGAAAAAAAGCTCATAATCACTGGTCATTAGAGAAATGCAAATCAAAACCACAATGAGATACCATCTCATGCCTGTTAGAATGGCGATCAGTCAGGAGACACAAGATGCTGGAGAGGGTGTGGAGAAATAGGAACACTTTTACACTGTTGGTGGGAATGTAAATTAGTTCAACCATTGTGGAAAACAGTGTGGCGATTCCTCAAGGATCTAGAACTAGAAATACCATTTGACCCAGCAATCCCATTACTGGGTATATACCCAAAGGATTATAAATCATTCTACAATAAAGACACACGCACACACATGTTTATTGCAGCACTATTCACAACAGCAAATACTTGGAACCAACCCAAATGCCCATCAATGATAGACTGGATAAAGAAAACATGGCACATATACACCATAGAATACTACACAGCCATAAAAAAGAATGAGTTCATGTCCTTCGCAGGGACATGGATGAATGTAGAAACCATCATTCTCAGCAAACTATAACAAGAACGGAAAACCAAATATCACATGTTCTCACTCATAACTAGGAGTTGAACAATGAGAACACATTGACACAGGAAGGGGAACATCACACACTGGGGCCTGTCGGGGGATGGGGGGGTAGGGGAGGAATAGCATTAGGAGAAATACCTAATGTAGATGACAGTTTGATGGGTGCAGCAAACCACCATGGCATGTGTATACCTATGTAACAAACCTGCACGTTCTGCACATGTACCCCAGAACTTAAAGTATAAAAATAAATAAATAAATAAATAAATAAATAAATAAAAAGATTCCTCTGTTTGTTGGGTGGAAATGACTGGGAGCCACAAGGCTGGCAGGGAAGACTCCTTGGGACACTATAGAGTAACTTGTGCCAGAGAGAATGTATCAGTGCAAGTGGAGAGAAGTGGTTAGATTCTAATTGCAAATTAGTAAACAATTTAACTACACATGTCCCCACCCCAGGCACTCTGAAGGTACCAAGGGCAGGTGATAAGTTAGTGTGGGAGTTTTTCTGCTTCCATTTGTATGTATCTGTTACACACTGACCCTCAACCTCCTTCAGACAGGTCACTCCTATAGACAAGCAGAGGGAGCAAAAGACATGCTCAACAGAAAGAGGATGGAGTAGAGAGACTTCTCTGTGCGTGTCATGCTCCCAGCATTCTGAGAGGCCGGATGGGAGGTGGGGGAGGCAGTGGGCACACCCACCCACAGGAATGCACACAAACATGGCAAGGTAACAAAGGTGGGGCAGAATCAAAACATACGGCCACTTAGAATGTTACCTCTCTCTCATCTGTATTTCTCTTCTCTAGAACCTTCCCAAGTCTGGTTTTTTCTTGAAGTAAAGAAATTCCAGAAAACCTCTGGAGAGCAGGGAGTGGGAGGGCCACTCCCAAGTTTTCCATTAGCGGCTGATACTAGTAAAGGAAAGAGAGCATCTTATCTCTAATCTTGGGAACACATATGATCATAGTTTCTTTGTGTGAACTCCCTTACATCGTAAACTTGGAGAATTCTTTTGTAAAAATATTAATTATCCACATTGATCATGTAATTTTTATGTTTTGTAAACTTTTCTGGTAAGTGTTCTCAAACATCTTGGAGAAAAAGCAATAATTTTGGTAAGGTCACCATATTTAGATGATTTCTCAAAACACCAACTTTTCAGTCTGGGAGACACAGCGAGACTCCGTCTCAAAACAAACAAACAAACAAAAAACACCAACTTCTAAAAACATGGTCAAATGACTTAGATGCCTCTGGCCATATTTTTCTTTGCTGACATTTCAGTGACTCCCTACAGTGTAATACATACTAAAATATTATACTGCATTAATATGTAAATATAACACAGTATAATTATCAGAAAAAAACAGATGAATATTCTATTTAATTAACTTAGTTCCTGCTGGATTTTTTAAACTGTTATATACTTAAGAGTAAGTTTTCTACATCTACTTTTAAATATTTCTAATAGAAAATCAGTTTACAACTGTGGCCTGGAAGTGTAACTACTACTCAAATTATTGTGTTCATAGTATCTAATGTATAATGATAAACTTTATATTTTCTTTCAGTTTTCTTAAAACTATACATTAAATTTCAGAATATCTTGATGTCCATGCCACTAGAAGCAGAAAATAATTTTCCATGAATTCATGATCTCTTCGGAATGACCTCTTAGTAAATAAACTTTCGTTCATTTGTTTATCAACTGTCCCCCCTCCATTCATTCCCATGATAGCTGTCTGTCTTGTTCACTTCTGTATCCTCAGCACATAGAATAGTGCTTGACACATGGTGCCAGCTCATTAACTACTTGTTGAATGCACATATGAATGAATGAATCCTTGTATGTATGAATTTCATCATTTTAATCCTTAGCACAACATGAGGCATAGTATGTTCTCATAAATATGTGTTGAATGAATGAATTTACGTTGTGAATTCCTGATATAGTGCAGGGCATGATGGTTAAAGAATGAGTTTGGTGGGCCGGGCGCAGTGGCTCAGGCCTGTAATCCCAGCACTTTGAGAGGCCAAGGCAGGTGGATCACGAAGTGAGGAGATCAAGACCATCCTGGCTAACATGGTAAAACCCTGTCTCTACTAAAAAAACACAAAAAAATTAGCTGGGCGTGGTGGCACGCGCCTGTAGTCCCAGCTACTAGGGAGGCTGAGGCAGGAGAATCGCTTGAACCCAGGAGGTGGAGGAGGTTGCAGTGAGCTGAGATGCCACCACTGCACTCCAGCCTGGGCAACAGAGCAAGACTCAGTCTCAGAAAAAAAAAAAGAATGAGTTTGGTTTTAGAGATTGATGGATCTGTGTTCAAGTCCAGTGTTAACCATTCATTAGCTATGTAACTTGGACCATTTATTTAATTGCTGAAAGGTTTAGTTTTATCATCTGTAAAATGGAGCCTGTGAAGAGGCATAAGACAATGTATATAAATCACTTAGTACCATGCCTAGCATATCACACTTAATAAATGGTGGCAGTTATCAGGTCAAGACTTGGGAGCAGCGAGGAAGGCATAAATGTTAAGGGGATCCCAAGGAACTCAGGAATCAAGATAATGTTTACATGAAATATTTTTAAAAATGAAAATTAATGCCAAAATTGATGTTGAACAAAATATCGACATTTGTCTTAAAGACAGGATCAGTATTACTGATTGTTTCTTTTGCCTCAGGCTCTATTATGGCTTGATAGGACCCTGGCGGTTATAATCATTAGGTTGACAAAGGTGCTTTTAATGTTATCATCTCATAGAGTGCTTAATTTGTAGCAACTGACTTTAAGCTTCTAGGTCTTACAGCCATGGCGCCTTAAGAATGCAGCAGAATCTAACCCAGTTGCTTTCGCTGGAACTCTCTGGGCTGAGAAGTCAGAGTTTCTCTTACCCACTTCTTCCTCCTGCCCAATACCACAGTCTTATCTGGGACTGTAATGGAAGAAGAATTAACTCTTTTTTAACTTCTCTTAATATAACAATAATAATAATAATAAAGGTCCTCTCAGGCAATACTTATGCATTATGACATTTTATAAAAACAACATTTATATAGAGACAGGGTCTCACTATGTTGCCAAGGCTGGTCTTAAACTCCTGGCCTCCAGCAATCTTCCCACCTCAGCCTCCCAAAGGGGTGGGATTAGAGGTGTGAGCCACTGTGCCCGGCCTCAGTAAAGCAATTTTAAAAGTAGGACGTAAACATTTTTTTTTTTTGAGATGGAGTCTCACTCTGTTGCCCAGGCTGGAGTAAAGTGGCGTGATCTCAGCTCACTGCAAGCTCCGCCTCCCAGGTTCAAGTGATTCTCCTGCCCCAGCCTCCTGAGTAGCTGGGATTACAGGCACCTGCCATCACGCCCGGCTAATTTTTGTACTTGTAGTAGAGATGGGGTTTCATCATGTTGGTGATGTATTCTATCAATAGTATATATATGTTAATATCATACCCCTACTACTATGTTAAAAGCAGGTAAAAAACAGGGAATGACCTTCCTTAATACATCTTTAATACCTTATCATTTAAAAGCCCAAGTTAAAAGACATCATCAAATGACAACTAGAGTTTTACCAAAGAATATTTAATCATCTAATTTCTCTTTTCCCAATGATATAAAAAATAGAAAAGAGATTAAGAACCTATTGAACGTTGAATGATCTTTGCAACATAAGTGTAAGAATGACTTCTTTTTAGTATTTCCTATGTATCTGACATGGAGCTAAGTGTTTTCTGTCCATTATCTTGTTTAATCCCTCAACAACTCCACAAAATGGCGGCCATTATTACTCATATTT